GAAGGCCACAGACCCATCTGAGGTCATCTTGGGCTCCAAAAATGCAATTTAAGCCCGGAAATGTCACTTTCCAGCAACGCGCACTGCTCCTTTAATAAATCGCCAGAAGATAACCGCTTGGTAGAAAAATCCAAAATTTTGACATGAATAAGCCAAGAGACACACGAACGTCCTCCAATTTGAATCACTCCAAATTCATTTGTTTGATCATGTTTTGCTCCAGAGGAAGTCGAATGTCCTATATTGAAAATATAAAGCAAAGTATCAAAATTCTACCAAAATAATTATCAAAGTATACTAAGATTAGGGTAAAATATATAATATAATATTGACTCTTCACATACCAACTTCACAAAAGCACTTACCTCAACCACTCATAGCCAAAAGCACTGACCTCAACCACTGGCTATAAGGCAGCCCTGAGGCTAAGTATAATCACTTAATTATCATGGAAGACGATGCGAGTGTTTAGTGTAGAAGGGAAACAGATTAGTCTAACCAACTTGATTACACATAAATATGCTTTATTTTTTATTTTTTTATTTTATTACAAACGATATCATTACTTTATTTTACACGAAGAGGAAAGGAAACAATCCACCACTTATTTAAGGATGACACATAAACACAAATCAACAAAAGCATGCAAGAGATATAACCATTAGCATACAGTTTGTGACAAGCCTTTGTTCTTCACTTATTGCCCATGTTTGTGAATGAAGACACAATATCACTGTGAAATAAGAAAAATCCGAAATATTCAAATGATAACACAAATAACTATTTAAGTTGCAAGATTGTGAATCTATGCACCACATATTTTGCTATGACGAATAGTATATGTGATTCAATACACCTTTTTCTTCCCCCATATTGATCCGGATCTTTTATTGCGTAAGCCAAGAAAGTCATAAATGGGTTTGAAAAACCAGGCATGAATTTTCTGAACCATGGTTATGAAAGATTGATACATAGGAAATTGAAGCAGGGCACAAAGAGGGACTGGGAAAAAGGCAATAGGGTAAAGTAGAGACTCAGTCCATTTCTTCTTGACGCGAATCAAGAGCAAAATGGTGGCAACAAAGGCGAGCATGGTGGTTCCCATGGAGAAGAAGAGCAAGATGAATCCAGTCATGATCTTGTTAGTGTAAAACTTAAGAACGCTCAAGAGTTCACTTCAATTGCATACCTTTTCAAAGAGAGGCTACATGTATTTATATTTCACTTCAGATTACATCAGGGAAAGCAATCCCTATTTACAAGGCTATTCAAAAATTCAAAAATTACAACAAACTGTACAAAGGAAATATATCCCAGAAACAACAAACATTTGAAAGAGTTGTAACCTAAGCTAACTCTTCATGGATAAGAGTTTAGAGTGATCACAACTGCCTGAAGTCTCGGAAGCAAGAGTCTCACACTGACTTGGTCTAACAATTAGGAATGCTGCTAACGAAATGTGGGTACTCGAGAGGGGAGGAGAGGACAGAGAGAAAGAATGCCACTGAAGATAATGAGCATGAAATGGCCATAACGTCCATGCAATGCAGGTGAAAAGCAAAAAGAGAGGATTGTCCTGGAAATTAGGACGGCCACTTATATATATTGGGTCTTTTGACATATGAGTTGACATATAAGCTGGGTCTTTTGATATATATATATATATATATATATATATATATATACAGGGAGCTTAAGGGGAGGGATCCCTATTTTTTCAAAAAAAATGGGGACACGCTCCCCACCGTTAGATTGACTTTAATGAAATTGTGTGGAGCGTGTCCCCATTTTTTTGAAAAAATGGGGATCCCTCCCCTTAAGCAATATATATATATATATTTATCAACTTGGTCAACTCATGTTTGCTTTGCGACTTAGAATCGAGGCATACATGAGTTGACATACGTGTTTTCATAAAATGTGGGATTAATACGTTGATAACTGTTTTACTATATATATATATAATTGCACATACAACCCCTTCAGGACTTATATACAATCCCGGGATTGTATGCCTCGATTCTAAGTCCTGAAGGGGGCGCAAAGCAAACATGAGTTGACCAAGTTGATATATATATATATATATATATATATATATATATATATATATATATATATATAGTAAAACAGTTATCAACGTACTAACCTCACATTTTATGAAAACACATATATAATGATAAACATAGGTTTTCCGAAACCTAGCATGTCGTGCAATATCTCAAATCATAACTTTTATATATAATAATCACTAGTAAATGTCCAATAACCCTCAGGTCCCATGCCGCTCCCCGTCTCTAAGCAGACAGTCAGAGGAAAATACACTTCAGGCCTCATGCCGGCTCCCCGTCCTTGTGCTAAATAGCCAGAGGAAACACACTTTAGGCCCTATGCCAACACCAAACAGTCGCCAGGGACGGACCGGAATCTATCTCTACGTTCCGTAGCGGAAATGACCACTAGGTAAGTATAAAGCCATTTAAAATATATATATTGAAAAGCAGCTTCATAGTATAAAGTCATCCATCATCTATACTATAAAGAGGTGTTCGAAACATGTTCTAAATATCATATTGTCATCCATCAGATATTCTATAAGAACACGAGTTATAGGAAAAATAGTAGTAATTCAATCTAGCCTCAATAAGCATGTTATCTCAAAGCGTTTCATAGAACATAATCATTAAATCATGTTTTTCCATGTATGCATTTCTATTATTAAAACATGTATTTTAGAAGGTGTCCACTCACAGGACTTCACCACTGAAGAGCCACGCAGCTAGCGAAGACAGAAACGCCACTATAATTGCCCCTAAGCACATAAATGGTACATTTAGTCAAACTCTACTCAATCAATTGAATTTGGGAAAACGGACTTCAAAAATGGGTCCAGAACGTCGAAATTAGCTTAGGAGATGACCCGAACGAAAACCTGAAAAGTCCACGATCAAAGTCAACGTTGATCATTGACCGGTCAAAATTAAGTTCAACGATGACTGTTGACCGAGTCACTGGTCAGATCGGGTCAATGTCAACGGGTCACGGGTCACGGGTCACGGGTCCCGTTTAGGCTCTAATGTTTAGGCTCTAATGGGTTTAGGTTTAGGGCTTTAGGATTAGATGGGCTTTAGGGTTAGGGTTTTAGATAATTAGGTGGGCTGGGTTTAGGGGTGTTTAGGATTGGGTAGGAAGTCTCTAGGCTCGGGCCCAGATCCACACGGCCCGAGGGCCACATTTGAAAGGGTTTTGGGTTTAACTTAAAGGGCTTAAAGCCCTAATTCTGGCACGGCCCAAAGGGCCTTTAGTTTACTAACCTAAATTAAATAAAACAATTTAAATTAAAGGGTTGGGTTGGGTTTTCAAACGGGATGGGCCTAAGGCTCGAGTTCTAAAACGGGCCAAAGGGCCTAGTTTGCTTGATCTCGCCGGGGAAGGAGGTTGGAACCTCTTGACCTCCGGTCAACGATAACTAACAACCTAGGGATGCGATCTAGGTATGAAAATAGAGTACAAGATGAAAGGAAGAGGTTTATACCCACAATCCACCGTGAAGAGGATTGGGGTGATCGGAAATTGGGCTTGCACACCCACGGCTCGCCTGGAATTGGGTTTAACACATCCAAATCAATTTCAAGTCCAACCTTCACCAAAACAGGTATACAAACTCAGAAATTCGTACTAACATCCAACTTAAGATAGGGTAATACGATTCCGAGGCTCACTTACTCGCAAATGGTGGAGTTCACCGAAGTTTGCCATTGCACCCTCTCGGTGCTTGCCGTGGCAGAAGGAAGAGAGAGAGACTTTGACGTGTTAAAGATCCTGACAAGGGAGTCTCGAGGGTGATGGGTTCATCGAGGCTGCAAAGGGTGGGTGGTCTGTGTGCGTGCGTGTGTGTGTGTGTGTGTGTTTGACGAGAAAAGGAGAGAACAAAGAGAGACACCCGAGGGAAAAAATGGAAAAGGAAAGAGAGAGTGATGGAGGGAAAGAGTGAGACCGAGAGAGAGAGATGAAAGGCTTGGACCCGGGGGACAACAAACAAAGGTGGGCCCCTTGGGACACCTATTAAGACCCAAAAATAATTTTTAAAATGAAAAATATCCCCAAACTTAGTGAAAAATACAAAAATACCCTTTTGTTCCGATAAAATTGGGATGGGTTGTTACAAATGCTAACAAGAATACTACAAATATATTGTTGCCAACGAATATTGACCACTGGAATTACAAACTAAATCACTAGGATTAACAAAATTAAGAACACTATCAATGCCCATAATCCTCATAATTAAGAGATGATAACTGATGGTCGAGCGGGACCACTTATGCAATGTAACCAACGGAGTCCGAGCAATACAGAGTTGCGTGAGCCCCGCTACGTTGCGAAATCACGTTATTAAATTATTAATCACACTATTACATTAGCCTTTGTTATGATTTTCTTCCAGCAATGGGGCTAATCAGCATTATTATTTACTTATTAATCAGCTATGACATGCTTTGCAAAGTTGTTCTCAATTGCAAACATGTCTTTTGAAGCGCAATCAATGCAACGAGCTTTATTTGTAGAGGGACAAACTTTTAGTAGGCACGTCATCATTGCGCATATCTAATAATGATTGAACTCACACCAACTCCGCGGAAATCGCCTTCCAATTTTATAAGAGATTTTATTCAAGAAAAATGTTAGGAGGTATCTGATTTTTTTATGAATTTTCTGTTAACTCACAATTAATATTAATTTTTTTACTAATATTATAAAATATTGTTGGATAAAATGAAGTGGCAAGAGTCTATTGAGAGTCTCGCTTTTTGAAAGAGTTCAATTAGCATTTCTATTTATAGAACTATATATGGGTTGGGTTGACCTTTAATTTCCCCCTTTGTGATTAAATTGCTAAGTATACGTATTTGAGCATTAACAAGTTTATGATTAACTTGTAGCTCCAAATGGTATCGAACTTTACCAAGTGCTTTAATTTACTTTGTTTTTGTTTCAATTCAGAAGTAAAAAATAACATATGGAAAATGAATTTACTTTGTTTTTGTTTCTTCCATCCATTGCTTTCTTGTTATAAGCCACCATTTTTGCTTTCTTTCTTTCTTTTATTCTTTCATTCTTCTTCTTCTGCTGCTTCTATTTTGTCCCTTAATCTTGCTTTTTTCAAACCCCAAAATCTTTTTTTCAACGACAAAGCTGGCGCTCAGCTCGCATTTTACATAACCCAGTTTTCAGAATCCCGCCGAATCCAATTTTGCAGTCCTGCTTTTCTCAAAAGTGCTTTTGTTCTGTTTCTTGAAGACGCTCACGGGTTCTTCATGGACAGAGTCGGACTTGGACCCCTCCATTTAATCCCAATCTGTACTTCTTTTTTCTCTCAGCAACAATTCTTTCTCCGAATATTTGTCTTTCTTCTTTTGGGTTTTTGTGGCGGGTTTTGAATCATTTGTTGAAGTATGAGTCAACTAAGTCTGATATTGCAGGAAGCGGTGCGGAGGGAGAGGGCGGCAAGGACGGTCCTCGAGGTTCTGAGAGAGCAAATGGACGACGCGGATGGAGCGAGGGGAGTTGTGGGCAGGCGGAGCTTGAAGCAACGGCTGAGACTGAGCGTGTTCGGCTGCTGTGGGGCCACCTGGGGATTCGGACGGACGTCGGCGATTGGCGCCAGAGAGGATGAGGAAGATCAAGAACCGCAAAATCTTCCGCCACAAGAACGAGTGGTTATAACTGTGGGCCAGGCTGGACCGGTTAATATTTGGGATCCGGGTTGCGTGGCTCCGGTTTCGCACGGATCGGGTATGAATTTGGCTGCCGCGCTGGCAGCCGAGCGACAGTTGCGGGCTCCGCAGGATCCGGAGGGAGAGGGGTCTGTGGGTCCCACGGGTAATGCAATCGCGGGAACAACAGCGCCGGGAACGCCGATGAGAGTGTCGCTGATGAGGCTGATTGAGGAGACGGAGATGGACGGGCGCGACGAGTTTGGCGGTGGCGCGACGGCGTTGAGCGAAAAAACAGCGGAGGGAAATATAGGGAGCGATTCGGTGTGCTGCGTGTGCATGGGAAGGAAAAAAGGTGCGGCTTTCATCCCGTGTGGGCACACATTTTGTAGGGTGTGTTCCAGAGAGGTGTGGTTGAATCGAGGCTCCTGTCCCCTCTGCAACCGTTCGATCCTCGAGATCCTCGATATATTCTAGTGATCGTCGGATTTGATTGGATGATCAAGAAAAAAACAAAAAAACCAGAAAATATTTGATGTGATTGTTTGAGGGAGGATGCCTCGAGATTCGTGACAGTGTTGAAACTTTGACGGTGGAATTTTCAATCACTAGAAAAATTCAATTTGTTCACATGCAATATGATGCAATATGGGGTTCTTGAATTTCTGCAACTTGAAACGTACAATGAAGCTGCCATGAATTTTGTTATTTTTTGGGTATATTTTAATGGGTAATTTTTCCCATTTTTTTCCAGTAATGTTTCCTTATGCATGCCATGCACTTGGTGCTTGGAGTTGAAGTTATCTTACGTTGTCAAAATAATTAAGAACTATTATGAGTTTAATTTTCTTAAATAACAGTAAATGTTAGCATGTCGTTGTATAACGAGTTTGAATTTCGATCAGTACACTTCTATCAGTTAAAGTAGAATATTACTGGTACATGTGATAATGCATGATTATCTGAAAATATCGTCACAATCATACCAAAATACCATGTTAGCATAGTCGTTATATAATGAGTTTGATTATCTTCACAATCGCACCATAATGCATGTACAAGGAAGCTTTTGTTAAAACAAAAGAAATTTTTATCTTCTTTATATATATTTTAAATTTTTTGGAAACGATATCTACACTAAGGGGAGGTAGAGGAGTGAGCTAAGCCTCATATTGGGCTATCCATAATAATGTGGTTCAAATTCGCCTTTGCCAAGAATCGAATCTAAAATCTTTCACCAAAGCCGAAAGAGAAATTGTAATACTAAGTGTTATTAAAAAAGGGTGCATTTTTGCTCACCCACACTAACTCTAGGGTATGCTCACCACCCCTCTCAATGTTTGCCATGTGTAATCCATACTAACTCTAGTTAAGCCTTATTTTTATTTTATTTTTACTTTAATTAATAGGTGAGAGAATCCAACTTGTACTTATTTACTTCCATATATATCCTTTCTTTTTAAATATTTTATTAAAACTTTAAACTTCATTTTTGAATACATACCGACTCAATCTTCTCTCCTTTTTGAATACATACCAATTCAACCTTGCATGCATATCTGGATTTTCCATCTGCTATGCTTTTCCATCTGCTACGTATTTGGTTTTTCCATCTGCTACCTATCTTCTGGGTTTTCCATCTGCAATTTTTTTTTCCTACTAGAAAAAGGTATGCAATTCCCATTTATTTGCTTTTTAGGACTATTATAGATAAGGATGGGCATTGAACACCCATTTCGTGTTGAGGATGAGGCAGTGGTGGTGTAACCGAACGGGATAGTACTGCCTAGAGTCTACATCTTCATCTTCATCATACATACTTTAAATTATGTTCCATCATGGATTATAGGATGTCAATATATAAATATATATGCTTTTCTTAGGATTATTATAGAGTGTCAAAATATATGCTTTTTATGATTATTATAGGGTGTTAATATATATGCTTTTTAGGATTATTATAGGATGTTAATTTAATTGAATATTAAGTAATTTGGTACTTATACAGATGGAACATCAAGATGATGAGTTTCATACTCCATCTTCTCGTGATGCCAAAGAAGCAGTTGATTGTATACACTTAGATTCAGATTCAGATTCCGAAACCTTTGAAGTCTTGGATCAAAATGAAGAAAAAGGAGAATTTACAAGCAAAGTTGGTGATATTTCTCTTGGGATGACTTTTGATAATGAGGACGATGCATATAATTACTACAATGCATATGCTAGAAGGGTTGGATTTAGCGTGAGAAAGAATAGAGAAAATAAGGACAGGTCAGGTGTGCTAAAGAAAAAACAATTTTGTTGTTCTTGTGAAGGTTTTTATAAAAAAAAAAAAAAAGAACTCCAAAGAAGAAAAGAGAAGAAACAAGATGTGGCTACAAGGCGATGCTTGAAATCAAACTTAATTTAGAAAGGAAGTTTGTTGTGACAAATTTTGTTGCTGAACATAGTCATGTTGTTGTTCCAGCATCAAGTTCCCATTTATTAAGGTCACAACGATTAATAGAGTCTTCTTAAGAAAAATTGATAGATCAAATGCATTCTGCAGAACTACAGTCATCTCAAATCTTCTCATACTTTACCACAGAAGCATGAGGGTCTCAAAAACTAAATTTTATTCAGTCTGATTGTAACAATTTGATAATGAGAAAGCGCATCGGGATTCTTAAAAAGGGCGACTCAGAATGTTTGCTTGAATATTTTAAGAAAAAGCAATCTGAAGACAAGTCATTTTTCTATTCTATTCGAACAAAAGAGGAGAATGAAATAAGTGGTTGTTTTTTCTGTGATGGAAATTCGAGGCGCGATTATACTATATTTGGTGATGTTGTGTGTTTTGATACGACATTTAAAACGAATAGATATAATATGGTGTGTGCCCCAATAGTTGGTATCAATAATCATGGTCAAACCATACTTTTCGGGTGTGGTTTGGTAGATGGAGAGATAACAGATGCATGTGAGTGGCTTTTCAAGGCCTTTTTACAAGCCATGGATGAAAAAACACCAGGAACCATATTTACATATCAAGCCCAATCAATCACTGCTGCGATTAGTGAAATATTTCCTAATTGCCACCACCGACTTTGTTTGTGGCACATATATCAGAATGCTGCAAGGAACTTGAATTGTTTTCAGTGAGTTTAAATCATTTACACAGGATTTCAAAAGATGCATATATGATCCGGAGACTATTGAAGAATTTGAATCAAATTGGGATAAATTACTTGATGATTATGAATTGAGAAGAAATGATTGGCTAGAAGGGAGATATCTATTACGTGAGAAATGGGCACAAGTTTATGGTCGAGACCATTTTTGTGCAGGTATTACTCTTGATCAATTCCTATTATATTATTTATATATATTATTCACAAGTTTCTTTTTTCACTATACTGTGATCAATTTCCATTTTTTTCTTAGGTATGACAACAACACAAAGAATTGAAAGCATGAACAAGTTTTTGAAAAATTATTTTGCTCGAAACCTCCTTCTGCAAGAGTTCGTCATCCCATATGGTAGAGCAATAGCGGATCGAAAAGAAAAGGAAAGGCAAGCAGAAAATGCAACTAAACAGAAATGGCGTAGTTTGTATTCTGATTGGAATGTGGAGATTGAAGCATCAAAGCAGTATACAAGTAAGATTTTTTATTATTTCCAAGAGGAGGTTAAGAAAGTTTTAAATTTGAGGCCACTGAAATTAGAAAGTGATGATGGGCTAACACGTACATACACAGTAATGAACTCAAGAAAACGAGGAATTAATAGAACACTTATATATGACCTTGCAAATCAAATAGTTTTGTGCAGTTGCAAAAAGTTTGAGTTTGAAGGGATTCTTTGTGCACATGCTCTAAAGTTATACTATGATTTAGACTTATCAAGTATACCATCCAATTATTATTTGAAAGGATGGAGCAAGGATGCTAAATGTGGTATTGGATTTGATTCTTATGGCGAACCGGCTGTGAGTAATTTGGACTCATCTTCTTTGGTTCAGTACAGTGAGCTATCTAATATAGCACAAAGAATCATAGCAAAAGGTGCAAAAAATAGTCAAAATTGTAGTTTTTTGAAATCTGAGTTGTTAAAGTTGGAGAAAAAAATGGAAAAGCATGCCAATTTTGGAGAACAAGATGATGTAAATTATGTTAAGCATATGACTGAAGCTAAGAAAAATCTTAAGATCCAAGATCCAAAAGTTCAGAAGTCCATAGGTCGGGGCAAAGGTAGAATGAAGAGTGCTTTGGAATCTAATCAACCTAAAAAGAAAGGTCCATACAAGAGAAAAGGTTAGCACATATTTGGCTTGTTTTTATTTACTATTTGATTCACAATTTGCAATTGTCAATGTAATTATTATTTTAATTGTTTAATAGCTTTTAAAGAATCCAATTCAAATGCATGCGAGATGAACGGACCATCAACAAGATATGCACAAACTCAGGTTTAAAGTTTAGCAATTTTTTGTCATGAATGTTTTATTTATTTATTTATATTTTTGTCCATTACCATTGTTTTAATATATTTCTGATGGATCAATTGGAATTGGTATCTAGGGTGATATTGGAATGCCAAGTCAAAACCAATTCAATATGGCACCCGTAAGTCAAGTCACAAATTTTCCTTATGGATTTCCAATTGTTCCTTGTGTTCAAGGGATTCAAAAGCACCAACTTGGATTTCAAGCTATAAGTCCCATGATGTCCAATTACTCATTTATGAATCCTCGGGTTTGTATCTTCACTGAGTGTACTATATATAGTGTACTATATTTTTGTTCTCTAGTTTCATAAGTAATTTTTTCCTTTCTATTAATTTGCAGGAAAACATTCAACCAATACCTCTGGGAAGCACTCCTTAACTAAAATTTTCAAATCCATCAACATCAAACATTCAACCGATACCTCTGGGAACCACTCTTGAACTGAAATTTTCAAATCCATCAACATCTTAGATCAAGTTGTAATAGAATTTAGAGAAATTTTTTTGGAACGACAACCTTTGAAGTGGAGAATATTCAACCTACTAGTTTTGTAAAAATTTATTTGGATGAGTTTCATCTCAGACAATTGTATTTTGTTGGATATTGATGAGTTTCATCTCAAACAATTGTATTTTTTGGACTAGCTTTTTGTACAATTTTATTTTGATGAATTTCATCTAAAACAATTGTATTTTTACGATTTTGGAAAATCCAGATACGTAGCAGATGGAAAAGCATAGCAAATGGAACATCCAGATACACATGCAAGGTTGAATTGGTATGTATTCAAAAATGAGAGAAGATGAGTCGGTTTGTATTCAAAAGGAAGTTTAAAGTTTAAATAAAATACTTAAAAAGAAAGGATATATATGGAAGTAAATAAGTAAAAGTTGGATTCTCCCACCTATTAATTGAAGTAAAAATAAAATAAAAATAAGGCTTAACTAGAGTTAGTATGGATTACACATGGCAAGCATTGAGAGGGGTGATGAGCATACCCTAGAGTTAGTGTGGGTGAGCAAAAATGCACCCATTAAAAAAATAAGCTTGAAACGTTGGCATTTGTTTCCTTGTGTGGTTTTGTGGAATCTTGAAGAACATTTGGGGTGGGTTTGGACCAACTACAACCACCATCAACCTATATGTGGGCTCAATGTGTTTTATTTTTTCCAAACCCATACAAAAAAGTCCAATGCTGCTTTTCCTATTAAGAATGCGTACCAAACAACGCAAATGATGGTTTTCTTGCTCAACATGAAGTTGAGTACTCCTTCGTAAAAAGTTATAGATTGAACCCAAAATGAAGTTGGGCCTAGGTCCTTCGGTTTGATCATATTCTAAACCACTGTTGGGGATTCAATGAATTAACTCCGATACACTTAAAAAAGTAAA